GGGGGGGGCGCGGGGCCCAAGGGGGGGCGTGGGAAGCAGCTACTGGCTCCTGGGCTGGCAGCTGTGCCGTCCAGCCTGCGGGGTGGGGGTGTCTGTCCAGGAAGGCCCGAGACCTGTACTACATCCGGCCTTCAGGTCTGTCCTCCCCACTCCCTGCAGCCTTTCACTGCCCAGGGCGGGGGACAGTGCTGGAGCCCAGATTGGTTAAACCTAGTGGGTTAAAAGTGGGTTCAGTTCAAGGCTGGATGAACCCCACGGTCTAGTGGTTGAGGGAGCCAGACCTCACAGGGCCAGCCGTGGTTCAAGCCCTGGCCTTCGTGGCTTGAGAAACATGCCAAGTGCATGTGCATGTTTGCCCCGAATCCCGAGAGGACGGAGAAATGGAAAAGGGATTATGGCACGGGGGTGGGGGGGTTATGTGCCCCATGGGGGATGAGACACCTTCCCCGTGTCTCTGGAAAGCACACACACACCCTCTGGCCATTAAAAGTGGGGTCAATCCACCACCTCCCAGTCCCCCAGGCTTCCCCTGACCACCAGGTGTGATCCTAAACCCACCCCCCCAACAAAGACAGAAACCAAAGTCTAGTCCCAGAGCCAGTGTTTATTAAGCAAGATGGAACCCAGGGGCACTGAGGCCTGGGTGGCAGAGGGCCACCAGGAGCCCTCCCCTCTCCCCAACTGCCCCTGGCGCTATTTACACCCATCGCCTGAAGGGGTGGGCAGAAAGGAGCACTGGGGAGTCCCTGCAGGCTCCAGGTCTCTATTGAACCCCAGCTCCCCTCAGGGCCAGGGGGCTCCCCTCACCTGGCCCCTCTGCCATTCTTCCAGCCCCAGAGACAGGTGGTACAGGAACAGCTAAGGAGGTAGACTGGGGCGGCCGCCCTGGCCAGGCAGGGAGGGGAGACGGGGCCACAGGGCTGCCCCAGCCAGGCCAAACTGCCCCGCCCAGGCAGAACTCCTCTGCTCCTGAACCCAATAAATAGAGAATAAATACCCGGGAAGGGGCTGGCCTTGACTGAGTGCCCCCAACCCTGGCAGGGGCCGGCCTCCCGCGACAGCCCCTTCTTCCCTTCTCTGAGCATGCTGTAGCCCCACCCCAGTTCCCAAAGCAGTACTGGCACCGTGTGGCTGCCACGGCACACGTCAGCACACGTCGGCAAGGACAGCCCGGCCCGTGGAAAGGGCCTGCTCCCTGCCCACGGCCTGCAGCTCTCGGCGGTGGACGTCAAGCAAGCAGACGTCCAACTGAGTCTGGGGACTGTGGTCCTGGCCCGGCCCCGCTGGCTGGCTGGGCCTGGTGGTGTATTCTAAATTATTTTAGGTTTACTTCAAAAAAATCCAGATGGGT